GTATTTTGTAAACTCCAGTTCAGATTCTGAGTACCCCACACTACAGCTGGACTGAGAAACATCCTGCTAAAGAGACGCACGCGGGCCAGCTTGCTAGATGGAGCCGCCTGCTGAATACAGGCTGCTGCACTTGGAAATTCAGGCTGGCCGATTCAAATTTAGGAACACAAATCCGGAAATTAAAAGGTTGCTATCCCACTAAGAGCCAACAGTGTTGCCTTTATTTTTTTTTTTTTTTTTTTTTTCTTCTCTCAAAAAGATCTTGCCTAGAATGCTGGCTACCGCTCATCCCCAGAAATGCTGTTTTACTCCAGGGCAAGTTGGCTGTGATGTGGGTCAGGGCCAGATGACGTAAACTGCTAACACGGTGTAAGGGATGATGGACTGCGTCTCACGCTCCTCACCTTAAAGACAGAGTCTCAAAAGGGCCAATGGGGTACTGGTTCCTATTGCTCTTGGTGAGATGTCAGTGGGGCTGAAGCCTTCTGAAAATCTGGCCACAGCATTTGGCCCATGGGGTGTCTTTTTGATCAGCAGTTTCACAGCACCTACCTCAAAAGGATCTTGGTCCATGACTTGGCCCTCTGGGTGCTACAGTAATATAAGCAGTAAATAATTACTGAAAGTGCTGAGCTACTGTTTAATTATGTGGCCTTGGTGTTTTACAGTAATGCTAAAAAATCAGTGTAACGGAGGAATGTGTAACTTCAGGTGATGTGAATGGGATGGACTCCACTGAAATCAGTGGAGTGACCGGGATTTACACCAGCTGAGGATGTAGGCTAGCTATGTGCTGAGCAGATCTTAGATGATGTTCCCTGTTTGCTTTGGTGCCGATTTGTGCCCTAACGTGGGAACCTGGTTTTTTTTAACATAAAGACAACCTCATTCTCACTTCTGAACTAATTGATGAGATGTCTGATTTTTAATGGAATAGGAAAATACATTTATTCCACCAAGGCATGGGCTTGAGCACATGAATGCAGTTGCACAGTGAACCTCATGCATAACATGGTAGACAAAGTGTTCAAGAGAAAAAATGTTGAGATTAAAAGCTGTGAGTGATAAAAGACCATTTTCTGTGAACCTGGCAGATATTATGGCTTTAAATCTGCAGCTTAAAAAGACTGAGACTTTTTTCATTAACACTGTTTTTCCTACAAATATCTTTGTGTGTTGTCACTCACTGAATCCTCTGGTTAGGGATACAATTTGAAAAACAGAAAATAAAATGTAAGAAAACTAAAGCAAAAAGAGTTCAACTGAGTGTCGATGAGCAAGTAACAGTGAGGGTGTAACACCAACAATTTTTCCATAGAAAACTAATGTAAATAGGTAGGAGGATGTTGTATAACTAGGACACTGTTGCTGGCTCATAGTGGTTATTAGCTCAGGTTCAACACTGCTCTCCAGGATGAGGATTTGAAATTTCAGTGCAACGGAGAGATTTCTTATCCTTGACTTTCACAGGGTGGTTCCTAGGACCCTATCCACACCGGAGCATCAAACCATGCTAGCTACAAACACAATTACATCACAGAATATTTATCTAGAAACAGCCTTTACTACCAAAGAAATTACAAAGCGCTAGCATGGACAGGGTACCTCTGTAGGAAGGGGCAATTAAGCAAGAAAGAGGCTTTTTCACTGGTTGATGGTCAGACCGTAAGATCAGCAAAGAGTGCCGTTTCACTGAGCCCTGTTAGCAAGCTCTCAATGAGTCAGTGCATGGAAGATGCTTTGTGGCAAGGAGAAATAAATAGCTTGTAATATTGCACATCTGCACAAAGCTAGCAAGACGTCATTGTGATCATTCATGGGTGGACAAAAAGCAGTGATAATTTTGGTTCTGCTTAGACCCTACGGTGCTACACACTGTGCCAGAACATGAGAAATAGCACCAGGGGTGTGATCTGGCACTTTTCCTAAAGGGTCCAGCATTTGCATTTGTCTCATGTTTAGACGCTTGCAAGTCTTTTACATGGACAGAAAAGGAGTCTGATTACGTTAAGCTGTGTTAGCACCAATATGATCTGAGGTGCCAATTGCTGTGGGCTGTGAGTTTGGACATTTTTTGCACCAGATGTAATTTTGCATGAGTCTTATGTTTCTCTTCCTCCTCCCGCTACCACCCAGTATGATCTGAACATCTGCAGTGCAAAAATGAGCTGCAGGTCTGAGGATGCTGAAACATGAAACGGAAAACATCAACGCACAAAACAAAGGGGAGTACAAGTCCTAAGGGAAATAAGACCTCTCACTGCTTCTCTTGGTGATTTGTTTTTAAATATATGCTTTATTTAAAAAAAAAAACAAAAACAAACAAAAAAGGAAGTGCAATGGCAACTCTGACCTGGAAGCACAAACAACAGACAGGGAAAAATAAATAATGTTACTACAGTAACCAAGGACTGATGGAAAAATTGATTGTACTCAGCCATAGTGTTACTGTTCACCGTAAAGCACAGCACATGACAAAGCAAAACAGTTACTAGCAGGATAGTACCATAAAAGGCTGCATGCTGAACTAAGAAACAAAGAAGCAGATGTGATTGATTGCTTAAAAACTGAAGAGCTGAAAGTTAGAATGAAGTTCCTGCTTTAGGATACTTTTTTTTTCAGGTCTGGTGGGCTATTTCCCAACCTGGGGCAATAGTGCTTTGCCAGCATGGAAAAATCCATGGCTTCCAAAGATCTGGGGTCACTCTGTGGATTTTTGCAGAATTATCCAAAGTTGAAGCTTTCATTCATATACATTTTGTAAAAAAAAGGTTTCTAGCCCTTCTGGTTACAAAGCTCTTTTGGAGACTTAACTGAAACCCTTGGTTATAAATCTGCGCTGGCCAGGCAAGAAAAGTAGTAAAAGAAGTGTGAACTTCTCAAAGTTACTGTAGCAGGGCAGTAAGTGAGCAGCCACCTCAGGGCCACTAAACCGCCTCTATTTTTAACCCTGTCACAGCTGGTGGCTGTATTGCAAACACCCAGCCAGGCGCAGTCTCCGTGGAGGTTGGCTGGGTATACGTGTCGGCTTGACAGGGCGTAGAAATGTAAGCTTCAAATAGACAAGTAGCTGAGGAGTCTATTTAACATTTGCCCTTAAAATGTCCTTAAACATTAGGGTTACTGCAGCCACCAGCTAATAAGCACTGAACTCCTGCGACGCAGCAGGCAGGAGAGCGTGGGTTTTATAGAAAATCTTGGTCCAGCAGCAGCAAAGGCAATTCAGTTTACTATCATGGTATCTCTTGCAGTTGTCCCCTTGTGTGTCAGAGTGAAGAATGGCATCACATACAAAGGAAGGGCAATGTGAAACGAGAAAAAAATACCTCCCTCTCCCCTTCCACATACCCTAAACTGCAATTCCACAGACTTTCCCCAAATCCCTCACAAAAGTCCATTGCCTCAGTTTTTGCTTTTAAGACCCTTGTTGACTGTGAAATGAGTGAAGATACAAGTTAGTTGGTGACTTGCCTGCCTGCAAAGAGAAGAAAGATCAAATGCTTTTGGCATTTCCTTTAAATAAACAGGAAGAATCATAAAACGTTTGGGGGTGAAGACTGACTCCCTGCAAGACAGAAATTATTAACTGCATTCAAGCACTGACGTTTTGCTTCTGAAAAATCCTCCATTTCAATTTAAAGATGCGTTATCCTTTTGTGTTCAGAAAAGGTCCTACAGGGCAGTCAGTTCAAGAGATCTTTCCACAGGAGTTCGTCGTGATTAAATAGAGGCAAGGGAGAGGATTAAATTGAGAGAAAAACAAGCTGATAACTACAATTTAAAGAAGTATCTTCCTTGTCATTAATAATAGAGAATCTGTTATGGAAAAAGGATAATGCAACTTGATGGTCCTCTTTACATTTTACAGTCACACAAGGGTGTAAATATTTAATCTTTCAATTAATTAATCTTTACAAAATATCTCACAAAAACATTTTTACCTATAGAAATTAGTTTCTATACATCAATATATTTTTATTTTTATAAATTATTCCATCTTTAAGTGCCTTCTATCAATATAAATGATAAAATAGACAATCAAAAATTTTAAAGCTTTTCCCAGTTGTATCCCTCCTTGTCAACATAGGTGCTGTGAATCCTCATATGTGTGTGTGTGTCCGCATGGGAACAAGTTTGTGTGCACATGTGTGTGATGTGAAATGCTTCCATCCTCTCCCACCCCTAAACTCCATTAAAATAAACTATATTGTTATTAATTCCTGATGCAATAGTGTTTCCAAAGGGGAAAAAAGAAGTGCTTGACTTGGTTTCAGAAATCAAAAGATGTGCATAGTTACAGAAGTCGAGGTGTACCAACTACTAATGTGCAATGACAAGCTTTGAATAGGATCCACCTCCCAGTCAAGTCAAAGAGCATCCTACCAATGACTTCAGTAGGAAGTGGAGCAAGTACTCTGAGCTTGATTTTGCAAGGTGCATGTGGCCCTGATCTAGCAAAACCTTGAAGCCCATGCTTAGCTTTGAGCCCATGAATAGTCCTACTGGAATTGATGGGACTGAACAGCATAGGGAAGGGTCACAAGTGACTCCAAGTCAACGGGCTACTCATGTGTAGGAACTGGGGTCAAGTGCTGAGCGCCTTGCAGGATCAAGCCCTATATGAGGTTCAAGAGCTGGGAACTTCTCTTTAAAGCAATCAACACACTGAGCTCAGCCATTGAAATCGATCAAAATGTCCGCATGGGCACAGGAGGTGGCTAGCTCCCCTTGACAGAGGGTCTCCATGTCAGAAGTTTATACCTACAACTGGTGCTCTGAGCACACAACAGATTTGCTTTATATGGTAGAAGTCTTTTTGTTCCTACCCTTTGACCCATCAGTGTCCTTCATGGCTTCAAACACTTTGTGTTGTACATTCATCAAAATTCACATTGACTGCAAAGAACATAAATGCAACAAAAACAGGAAAGCCTCCAAATAGTATATTATAGTTTTCTTCTAAATATTCTCCCTTCGTGATCAGAGGTGCAGTGGCTAATTTATAATTTTTCCTTTGAAGGAATCCAGATGAAAGGCCCAGATTGTTCTTCAATTACAAGTTTGCATTGATTATATATATCTTCTAAGCTATCTCCTTGGACAATAGCTGCAATAAGAAAACATATCAATATTTCTTTAAATTGTTATATTCTATGGCATCCAGTGTCAGAAATTGATGAAATGAGAAGGAATACTAGCACATTGTGATGCTGTTGATTATGGAAAAGTCATACCCCTGCAGATGGCAATTAAGTTCAAACCAGTGACACGTTCCCATGACAGAGAGCCATCCCACTGCTTGTAGTGAGACGACCGAGCTAGGTTAGTTTAGAGAACAGCAGCTCTATCCCATGGGAGGGCAGCATGGTAGGTTCCCTCTGTTGCAAGTCAAGCTTTATGTTTCATTTGATTTAGAAGCTACTTCAGCAGTGAGTAGCAGCAGATTTACTGCCTATTCTTTTACTGACTTAGTTATAATAAACTCAGTCTTGGCTACAAAAGTTAACTAGATCAGGCCCAAAGTGACAGAAGATAAAGCAACTGTTACACAGTGTCTATACTCTTAAATTCCTTGCTTCCCCAGCAGAAATCTGGAACTGCAATTTCGATTATGCGCACTGTCAGCATGTGGAGGGACAGCTGGGGACTTTTGAGTGTTGTCTAGAAATACCAGTCCCCAGAGTAGTGAGCTGCCTAAACCCATCCAAGGGAAATACAGGGGCCCAGAGCAGGTCTTAAATCATGCCCTTTCCCAGGTCAGGAAGAAGATGCCTTTCTCTTCCCCTCCCACGATCCATAGCTTGAGCTCTTGCCTTCAGCTAGTGAGGAATTCCTAGCTCTGTACAAATGCAATGATGCAACTCTTATACTGATTTCATTAAAAGAAGTTTTGGGTCAGAGAGGGAATCAAATTCATGCAAAGCTATTTCTTCAGGGCATCAGAATTTTGAGGAGTTGAATGCCTCAGCTGCCCTTGAGCTTCAGGGATACAATAGTCCCAAGCCAGGAGTCCTTACTGTGAGTACACTGTACTGATAGGCACTCTAGGCTGGAGGCTGAGCTGATCCAGTTGTTTTGCAACAAAAGACTCTACCTTGGGAAAAAAATTGTTTTTAATAAAAACGTACCTGTAAAATATTCTCCAAATTCTTGTTCTAATTTAATTGCTCGATCGTAGGTTTTCTTCGCTTGCTCCTCTGTGAGACGCTTATTCATTTCCCTAAAAAAGGAACGGAAGTCGTTAAGAACTTTAGATTCATACTAAAGCAGCTTTCTGAAAGATATGTTCAACTGAATCACAGATCGGTTGAGCTCGGTACAAGAATGAAGCATTGAAATTCTTCTATCAGTTTGTGGGCAGTTTCAGTATTTTAAATTTAATTTCATTCTTATGCAGTCTTATGAGACAGCCAGGCCTGCTGCTGGCTGTCTCAGCTGAATGAGGCTGTCCAAACTGCTGAAATGGACATGCATTTTGACTGAGGCTGGCATTATGGAAGTGAAATCACAATTAAAGGCAGGATTCAAAACGATGAGACTCCTGACCCTGTAAAAGCTATCCCAGAGTCATTGTAACCCCCATGGGGAAGCCCCAGAAGGAATCCAGCGTGTCTTCCAGGGACACTTCTTAGTTCAAGGAGGTGCATGAGTTCCAGGTATCATGAGAAATCAAACTGAGTAATTGGAAGAGTTAACATAGGTTATTTATTTATGGTCTCTGTTCCAGTCCTTTCTGGACTGTAGAGATTTCCGGTCAAGTGTGTCTTGTAGATTCTAAAACATGCAAGGTACCAATAAATGTAAAAACAAAGACAGTGTCAATAACATTCTGTTAATGCCAATATTTTGTTATTTGATGAAGAATTTCTGTTCTGACAGAGGCATTATTTAATAACTTGAAGAAATAAGTTGTCTTGCCCATGCACGCTCAGCTTTTAATACCACTGTGTACTTGCAAAAAATCAAGCTAATACTCATTCACTGCCTTACATATATGTATATGCCTGCAGATATCCAAATTAATTAGCAATAATAAATGGAGTTTGCTTTTTTCACAGTATGGATTCATTTTTCTTTAATTATGGTGGAAATTTTCTGAGGTAACTAGGAAAGCAAGAGAAGGGACCATCTTGTATTCTACATAAATCTGATTTAATGCCTTGCACTGAATCATGTGATTATGTGGCAATGAGCTGTATACAGTATGACACGGGCGATGCATGTAGGAGATTATGTACACAATGTTGCATAAAAAAATGATGTATGAAGTGTACAACAGTATGAACTTGCTACAGCTAACTCTTACCTGGCCGCTGAAAAACACCCTGTAAGGTGTCCAGGATGCAAAATGGTATTTCTAGACATTACTTAAAGCTATCTATCTATATAACTATCCATATAGCTGGGAATACTGCTTTGAAAAATCTCTCTGGAAGTACCAATGCAATGCAGAAAGCAGGGTTATAAGGATAAGAAAGATTTCTTTGAAAATATATGACAGTTATTTGTGGATTATATAAATAGGTTTAATATATGCCAATCTGTGTCATGCTGCTAAATTTGTAATACTACTAATTCTATTTATTGGAAGGATTGCTGTCTAATTGAGTTCAGGTGGGCTTCTCATCAGCTGTGCCTACTTGAACATCTCCATGTGACTTCCAAAGAGCCAAAACTCTGTCTTGAAGTGGAACATAGCATTGCAAATTCTTGTGCAGACTTAACATTTTGTCTCATCTTAAGAACACTCAGCCAATTCAAGTGCTAACAACATAATCCTCCTTCCAGATCTATTTCTGGTAGATTTCTGAGAAATTCTTCAAGAACTTTGAATATTAGAGAAGAAAACACAAATAAAAATATAAACAAACCTTTAAATTAACAAATACTTTTAAGTAAGCAGAAATTTGCATTATGTATACAGGACATAGATTTGCCTGAGGTGCAAAACTGTGCTAGTTGTATTCATGCCTAGTGCCTTCAGGAGAGAGGATGGAGAAGGGGCAGGACCATGATGTCCATTTTTCATGATGAATTAAAAGTGCTGTCAAACAACGGTCCCTTCTATTTTTTGTTTCCTAGCCAGGGACCTGCACAGCTGATGAATTCAAAATGCTTGCAAAGAGCTGTCCCTCCAGGCACGTTTGGCAGGATTTCCTCCTCTCCCAGTGAAGAGCTCACTCAGGCAGCATCGTAATTACTTCCAGCTCTCATCCCCATGATCCCATAAGGGTCCTCCTTCTTCTGGAAAGAGAGGCAGACTGAGAGGTACCAACAGGGAACCCGCTGGGATTAAAGCTGTGTGATGGAGTCATGTGGAGGTGGGAAAGGAAGGACCGGGGAGTAGTTTGTTTGAAGCAGTTTGATTGCCAGGACTGAATTTAACTGAAGAAAGCAGGACCAGAGGACAGCCAGCTGAGGCCATGCGTTCTGGTTTCTTTGACATCCAGTAGCCCCTTATGGTCTCACATTGCTGTGGTCATTAGCGTGAGCAGGGTATTGCCAGAGAACCAGTGATAACCAAGTTTCAAATGCACGTGCAAGCTTAATTTGTGCTCCCATCACTCTTCTCACCTTCACTCTCAGATAGATGCAAAGGAGCATACGTGTAAATGAGAACTAGACCCTTCAACTTTAAGTGCTAATTGTGCTGCAAGTTAAATCTTTTGAGTTTGCTTTTCTGCATATTCTGATTAGTAATTTTTTGTCTTTGATGGTTTTACTTTGCTATTACACTAGCTTTCAACTCATTTGTATGAGCAGGAGTAATAGGGCAGATAAACATATATTTGTGTTGTAGTAGTTACCTACATAAAAATGACCAAGTGAACACAGTTATGCTGTCATAAAAGTGTCCTCTTTCTGTTCTCACAGGGTACTGGTTTACCATGTTAAACTTCTACATACTGAAATAATAGTACCTATTGGAAAGGGGTTATATCTGTTAACCTATGCGCACCCTACCACACACTACTGCTTACATCAGAGTATGTATTTGTTTAGTCAGATCCTGAATGATTTAACTTCATTACCAAATAAAATAAATTATTTTTGCAAGCAAGAGGCTCACAATTAGGTGTTATTCTCAAGACAATTCTTTAAAAAGAATGATGCTGTTTATATTAAATGAGTTCTTATTTCTATTAGAAACTAATTTTGGGTGCTGTTTTATAAGATAGATACACATTAGACAGATTAACTAGATAAAATATTACTTGTGGAGAGCAGGCTGCAGGGGATAAACTAACTTAGAATGGCTGAATTCATTACATTTTTCTCTTTTTTTTCAGCAGTTGTATTCTGTTTATGTAATTTATTTATGTAAGCCATATTACTGCAAAAAATCCCAAACTAGTACCAATATATAATGACTTTTGCTGTCCCATGAAAAATTTGGATTTCTAATTAAGGCTGTCTTCCACAGAAGAAGTTCTTGCAGAACAAGAAATTCAAAGTCATATATGGATTTCACTTTGTCACTACCGTACTGTCAACACTGAGGCAGGTTTAGGACTGGGGAATGAAGAATAGCTTACTTTTGATTTATATCAGTAAGTTAAATTCTGCTAATTCTGCATAAGTTGTTTTGTCCTATGTGAAATATTAGCATTGCTTTGGTTTAGTAATAGGATGATTGTGGTAATATTTTGCATCTTCATGACATTTTTCAGTCAATTTGTTCAAGGATTTGCTGTTGTTACATCAAATCAATGAAGCCTTTATCTTATTGCCACATTTCTGGTTCTGCCTAATGTATTTTTTGAAGTAAGGGCCATTTTTATTTACTTTTTTTATCACTCCACATGCAATGTCAGCATTAAACAAATAATGGAAATATTTCATGGATGGGAAAACTGTAGGCTAAGATCTATCTTAAAACAATCAATGCAGAATGTAGGCTATCAGACTACCCCTCCTCTTCTGTACAGCAAGATAATCAGAATATTATTGAATTATAGGGCTGGAAGAAATGTCAAGAAGCCATCCAACCCACGACAGCTTTGGTCAGGGTGGGACTGTGCAAGTACCATATACTGTGCAGCATTCCCTGGAGTGACACTGGACACGCAACAACTTTATCACCCACCAACAGACAGGGCCAGGGAGGATGCACATTTGGTCATGGGATGGGGCAAGCTAACAGGGTCCATCTCCAATGTTTGTGGGCAGGCCTTTACCATAACCAGATATGTGTCTGTTGCAGGAGGGATGCCTGTATTTTAGCTGTGTGATAGATACCTGTGGCATCACTTGCAGAGCCTTTGATGAGAGGAAGGCAAAGAGTTCAAAATTGCATCCCTTTCACAGCAAATTAAGCTGATACATTCTTGTGTTACTATAAGTCTACATGTAAACAATTGATCACAATGTATTTTATCTGGAGCTTTAACCAATGTGAAGATCTCTGCCATATTTCCTCTTCAACCTTCTCTCCTTGGCAGTAGGTAACCCTCATTCCCCCTCCACTTCCAGGGTGGAACCCAGAACCAGACCAGTGTTCCAGCTGAGACCTCAACCATACCCAGCAAAACAAAATAACTGCTCATTGTGTCCTTACGCAGCACTGATGTTAATACAGACCACAGTGGCAGTTTCCTTTTTTGCAACCACATTAAACATCCATTCATATTCCTGTGTGATCCATCCCAACTGCCAGATGCTTTTCTGCAGTACTATAGCTTAATTATTCCCTGCTTGTACTCATACATTTCATTTTCTCTCCTTTGTCTGTGCTGAATTGCATCTTACTGATTTTACAGTGAGTTTTAATCTTGTCTTTCAAAGTGCTTGCCACCTCGCTCAGCCTTGAGTTATTCACAAACTTTACAGAAATACTGCCCAGCTCATGATTCAAATAATTCATGAATATAACAAGTAGTCCCAAATAGGGACACAGGTCAGGAAATACACTTGCAGGATTTCTGTAACCCTCCCCATTTATCAGTGCCACTTTCAATGACTGAGCATGGTTGTGCACATGGTCTCTAGTGATTCCCTTTGGACTGTTTTTCCCTAATCTTATATTTTCCTAATCATTAATATTGTATTTCCCTAAGCTGCTACTGACAGTGTTCCATGAAGCCAGAATAAATATCAGGATGCAATACAATTATTGATCTCCATCTCATGAAAGAAGAAAATAAGATTGATTTTATTTGCTCTTGATGCACATACACTGGCTGCATCTTAGAACCTTTTTATCCTCTCAGTTATTATACTTGAGTTGCTTAACAGTGTTCCCAGTGTTTTTCTGAGTACTGAAATGAGATTGACCGGTGACAGCACTAAGTTGGTGCCTTCTAAGTGTTATGTTTGCCCCGCTCCAGTCCCATGGGTCCTTGCCTGTCCTCTTACAGACATTCAGGTAAATGACGGGCTGACGAAGAGGTACACTCCATAAATCTGACACAGGTTCACCCTCTGGTTACCCCCAGTGACCAGACTCTACACCCCAAGAGCACCCAAGGCTGGATGGGACAAGCCATGTTGCCTGAGTCCTTGGTGAACTTGCTGCACAGGTTGGAACAAGTCCACCGAGCACTGGTAGGGAGTCCATCATGGTCCAGCACATAAACCCATGTGTCCCAGTGTGAAAGGATCAAAGGCAGCTTTGGCTCGTTTCTTGGGATGCTGGGGTTCAGCGGATGGCAGGTGGGGAGAGCAAGTCTCCACTGTTCCCTTTTCCTCTCATTATTACTGATATTAGAGGACAGGCAAAACATAGACTGAAGACCTGTGTTGTGACTTTACCCTGAAAATAAAATGGCTGAAGGAGTTTATACTTACATCAGAGGCTCCCATGATTTAGGCTTAATGAAGATAGCGATGGGATAGAGTTGTGCAACTTGTAGTCGTTTGATAGCATTTCCCGACACATCGAGTATACAGTGCTTGCCCTGTTGGAAACAAATCAGGATGTGTTCATTTTTGCAGTGTTTGCTGCCGATCAGACAAAAGATAGCAAGCCATTCTGTGACGCAATGTCCTGGAATGGGGCCTTCCCGGCACAGCAGGGAAGGGGGACCCAGGACATGGGCTCTGCTCCTCTGCGCTCTTTCCTTTGCTCTGCTGCTAATATGAAATATACACTAGAGGTATGGGGACAAACTTGTTTTTTATTTTTACTTTGCAGGGGGGGGAGGATTTTCTTCAGAGATGAGGAAAATCAGTTCATAAAAGTGATAGGATGTCTACGTTCTTACTGGTTAATTCAGTTCTTGTTTGTGTCAAAGACTCCCTGTGTCACCTGAGGCAAGTAATTTAATCTTTCTGTGCCTCTGTGAAAGTGAGATAACTTTATTTACCTGTCTTACAGAGGGAAGAGGGAAGAGGGAAGGCTCTTTTGGGACATACTTGAGGCGCTGTGTTAGATCTCTGAATCCATCCAGGCACTACATCCAGGTACAGAAAACACCAAGGAAGTTGTCATTCAAATTCAGAGACTCCACTTGTGGAGTCATTGTAAAGCCTATAAATATCAGGATGCTCTTTTGCAGATATTTTATATTTTTGGCAGAAGGGTCATGTCTGAGTTACAATGTGGAAACAAAACAGATCTTGTTGCATGGTCAATAAAACTAGAGTCAACCTACCCTTTCTGCCACGAATCTCACAGACTGGACACTAGTTCCGTATAAATTATCATTGTACTGCCCAGCTTCTATAAATTTGTGCTCTTGGATATCTTTTTCCATTTGTTCTCTTGAAATGACAAAATGATAATCTCTCCCATCCACTTCGTAGTCTCGCTTTGGCCGTGTGGTATCTGCATGAAACAAAAGACAGAAGATCAAGAAGTCTCTAAAAACATTCATGCAAAAAATGCTGCAGCTGAGGTTTGCTCAGCGGGCAATGCTGGGTCTGCTGCAAGTGGAGGTGCTCCACAGTTGGGAGCAGGTCTTTGGCTACTATATGTTGTTTTTAAAGGAGTTGTGACAATAAAGCTGTCATTTTAAACTAATACCTTCTGGTCTTCACTTCCAATCAATACTTAAAGGCTAACAAAAAATTAGGATTTACCAGAATTCCACTTTATTCAGCAAGATCATACACAAATCCCAAACAGAAAATGTATTCCAGATTGTAAATCTAATCCTATTACAGTGATAAAATGAATCACAATCTCATCAATTTAATTTAGCCTTAATTATAAGGCTGATTCTGATCTCGTCTCTAGCAGTTTTAATCTGGTGTATTTGCAGAGACAACAGTTTAAAATTAAGTAAGACTTCAATCAGGGTCTGAAATAAGCACTCAGCAAGCTCTAATGATCCAAGATATAAACACTCTGCTTAATTCAGGGTCCAAAATTGTTTTCAGATTAGACAGTCTAGATCTCACACAAATCACAGATTACTCTGTTTTTTCATTTATGGGTGCTGTTCAACTGAGTTGAGACATTTTACATTTTACCAGTATTCCAAACTTTTATTTAGGAAGCCACAGATTAATTGATGAGTAAACTAAGTTAGTGGCCAGAAGGCTTCCTCTCTAAAACATGGTCCAGCTTTTGAGACAATTTTTTTGAGAAATTCTTTCCAGACCTTCGCAATCTTTTTTATTAGTTCCTTTCCACTTTTTTTGGGCAATCGAAAAATAGCATTTGAGAAACTCAACTACATATAGTTCATGGATGCTGCTTTTGCAGCAATTTACTTAATGTATGACATCAAGGGATACAAGATACAGCTCACTCAGCTGCAGAACTAGGAGTAAAATCATACTTACGTGGTACACACGACCCAAACTTATCAGGGAATTCAGATATCAAATCATCGTTGATCCGATCTTTCATAGGACCCAGAATAATAACCGGCCTGGTGTAACTGACTGAACAACAAAAAGAAAGGAACATTTTGATGATCTTTCTGGCAATAACAGTAAATCTTCCCAAAGATGCACTAACCAGAATTGTTGCCTTTAGTTACGAAGTGAAAACTTAAGTGTGCATTTTATTGATGAATAATTTATTTATTGACATAGATAAGGAAAATGGAGTGAGTATCACTGATTTTTCAGAGCTCTGTGGTGATGCATGCACGTGCAGTCAAAAAACTATGTGGAATTGTATATATTTGCTATTGCTCAACAAGGTCACTCCCAAATGCTTGCAGATGGACTCTCTCATGAGGCATGGAAAGGATATTGAAGGATTTTTTCTTCTTAGTTAAATGAGTGCATTCCCCATGAAATCAGGTGGGTGTGATCCCATTTTCAATTGCCTTGCTGTAGGTTCATCTACACTGGCTAGAGGCACGTATCACTTGAGGAAGAAAATAATAAAGGCTTCCCTTGTAGCAATATTGCAGTACATCTAGATAATCTGCATGAACATTTTTTATACTGATTAGCATATTTATTAGTAAAGGCATTGAGAGTGTACTGGGGAGACTCCTGAGAACATTAGAAAACTGGGGCTAGTGAGGGGGACCCTTCCGTTATTTCTATTATATATGATAGACTGAGTGGCCAAGAAAAAGGAGCCACAGAGAATCTGGGGCTGGCACAGCAAGGCTTACTGCTCTGCTGGCCCCGAAAATGTGAAATGAAAAATGGAAGGAACAGTGACAGAAAAGCAGATGAAACTTACTTTCCTGTCTGGTGACAGGTTCATAAGAAAGGATGCAGTCTTCTTGGCCTCCTAATGAGAGAAGAAAGAGAAGAGATTGAAGGTGACAAGCAACTTGTCAAGGACTAAAGCTTCATCAAATGCTTCACACAGAGACAGACCGGGTTCAGCATTTCTCTTTGGCAATGCTCTCACCTGAACCATTCCAAAGTCCCTCGTAACTTCAAGGTGCGGAGACCATTTTTTTCCTTCCCCTCCCTCCCCTGCCACATCGTTCAATTCTCTTTGCTGAAATCGGGCTTTTTCAATGATGGGCAATAAGGCTTCATTTACTGATTTGATAGCAAGGCTATTTACCAGGATAGTGCAGAAATTCAAGATGCAGTTCTTTTGCTTGTCCAATTTTATGGCCCTAACATGCTGCTGCAGGGCAAATCCGCAGGCTACATAAAATGAACAATTTTTACCCTCAGAATATCTACATTTTGGTTGATCACCCTTCTGTGCATAACCTCCATAGTCTAGTTTATTTACAGCCTGACATCTAGCTATGAGCTGTTTGCTGATCCTTACCCTTTTCCTGAACACAAATCTCACAGCATCATATTTTACGCACTTATTCTTCCTCCACTCCCATTAGGACAGTGCTGTTTCCTCATGGTGACGTTTAAGGAACTAAAGCAGAGAAATTTGCAACGAGAAACAAGTGGGACTGAATGGACCATGACTTGGGTGCAGGGGTGCAGCCCCGATGCATCACTGTCCTCTCCTCTACGAGATGGCAAGAGGAGAGGGGGGAGGATTCTTCAACCCACTGCATGAATAATTCCTGCACATTTCTCTTTCTGGGTCACCGTCTCATGCTTGGTACCACATAATGGCTCTGGCAGGTGCTAAATATGACTTAGGCTTAGCAAAGTTTAAAATAATGATTTTATTTTCACTCAGTTCAGGGCTTATCTCTGATGAGATCCACAGATGGGATTTTGCAATTAATTTAGATACTACAGAAAAAAGAATGCCATGAGGCTTACCAAGGCTTTATAAAATAGACCTGTATTTTATATGAGTTACCTGTATTTCATCTGCGCGCATGCACAATGTCTTACATTATTCTGATGGGCTCCCACCAAACCAAAGCGTGCACGTACAGGGAAGACTGCTGCCTGACACCTGATGCGTGATATCGGTAGGACTTAGAGGGGCTACACCGCACCCTGAAGTAGTCTGACTGCTATCTGAGTCAATCTCGGGGCTCCATTAGCTATATTAACAAGACAGATTGGTTTTGGATGCAATGCCTAGCTCCCAGATAGGTACAAAACTTTTTGTGATTTAGTCTTAAGCTGACTCCCACCCCATCAATCTAATACGTTGATAGATATTTTTTGTGATGTGTTATCTAGACAGCTGTGAGAAGTGTGTAAGAAAGTTTTTCAAGTAAAAATAATGTAATTAAGGACAACAACAGAAAAAGCCAATAAAAAAAATGTACTGATGTGTTAGGAGAGAGGGAGAAACAGACAGAGCTGACTTCAACCTAGCAATGGTGCTGAAGCAGCAAAGGAGAAAACGTTGCTTTTAATAAAAGGAAGAGATTAGACAGCTTTTGAGGGCAAGGCAAGACAACATAACATATGAGGAGTGTGGATAATGGATTTTCTTCTCTATTTGCAGGTGTTTGATACTGTAATCACTTGCTTAACTTTGGCTTTTTACAAAGGTAAAAACCTAGAAATATTGTTACGTTAAGTTTCATACATCAGATGTATTATTCTCCCTTAAGTTTCTCTGGGAATTTTGGGGGTGATATAAAACTCGGGATGTCTCATTCGCCTGGAGGTGCAATGACTCACGCTCCAGGCTGAAGGCGCGTGCTCCTGCACTGCCTTGCCCTCCGGCCCCCGGGAGCCAAGGCTATGCTTTTCAATAGGCGGAGAAAGTCGGTCTTGGGGTGGGCAATGAAGCCATCATGTGCTAAGCATGTGGAGGCAAGCCTGTTTGTGCGAATACAATCTTAAACTTGAAAATCTGTGTTTCAATGGCATCCACATCCACACAGGGGATTCGTTTCAGCCGATTTCAGAAACCTGTGTCGTGAGTGCTTCTATCTAAGCTAGTGCCCTTTGGAGTCAGTGGGTGCCTACAAATAGGCAAGTGCTTATTCTAAGTCATGAGTCATCTGAGCTATCTTAGATGTCTACTTTGGGATGAGAGAAAAAGTCGAAAGGTGTGTTTGCCTCACTTGTCCCATAACAGTATTTAAACAGCAAGGTCAGATGCAGACATCTGCATTTAAACAATAGAATCTCATGGGACTGACAGTGACAAGGACAACTGAAGGAAAATAGCCAATAACTGTGACACTATTGTTTAAAATTTTTTTCTGTGGGCTAATATTTGGCTTTGGCACAGAATCATAGCCAGCACAAGCAAGCCAGCACAGATTTTACCTTCTGTTTTGCCCAGTCTCTGGCAGACATGCCCACATGCTAAAGCTGTCCATGCTATCCATAGGGTGTGGGCTACGGAGACAAACGAGCCTGTTGTTTCATTGAACTCTTGTGAAATTGTGGCCAGACTGAAGGCAGAGAAAAAACTCCAGCCCACTCGAACTGTGCTGAAGCTTAAGCCATTGGCAAGGGTTGCAGCAAGTAAGGAGAAGCTCTGAGGCTGACTGGGATACACATGACTTAAAGACAGACAACTTGATCCTGTGGTTCTATGATTACATGATCTTCCTTAGTGAAGGCTCTTCACAGCTAAGTTTCAGTCTCAACACTGAGTGCGAGTGTGGGGGAAAGCTGCACCATTTCCACTACTTTTCTGGAAAAAGAGCTCAAGGAAGCTCAAGTTTCTGTGTGAATATAAAATCCTTCCAGGTACTGTCCAGACAAAATCCTAGAAGTCCTCAGACACTAATATGCATGTTAACTGTACCAGATGGTATTCTTTAAAGATCTCTACTGAGTCAGTACTGCACAGTTTTGAAGTAGTCCATAAAATATTAGCATAATGAAGAGCTAGAGTCTACCAGTAATTGGATTGCTATAACCTTGTGATGGCTTTGAGGTGTGAGACAGTGTGAAATTCACATTAATGGCTTAAGTAGCACAGGTTAGCTATATTGATCTGGAAAAATCTTTGTGAAATTTAACAGAGAAAATAAAAAAAGAGAAAAGAAAAAGCCCTTTTTGTAGGATTTTGGCATGATCCCTTGTTCTTCAGTAAAATTCCATCAATTGAAAAAGAGAACAAAAGAAAGAAAGTAAGGAAAGAGAAGAAATAAAACGGAAGCTTTCCTAAATGTAATATACTTGTGAGTAAAACTATTGGAGGGCTTTCACTTTCCCAGGATCGCTCTGCTTCCCTTTGTTCTTGGTTTGCCTGTTGGTGATTTCTCATGCTTGGGAAGAGAATAATAACCTGGAGTTTGTTATAACTCGTAGCCTCTACAAACTGGGCAGAGAGGTCCTGCACGGTCAGATGAGTTTCATAAGGACTACTAATTTCATCTTTTTAAAGGATTTTATAGTGTTTCAGAGGGGTAGCCCTAAAATGGGCTTAAGGTGTTGCCTCTGTTTTGCTTTTCTGATTAGAAGGCAGACAGTCTGTGAAAGGCTCAAAATCACAGTTTCAGTGTAGACCTGGCAGATACCAGGCATTTTGCGCGTAACCCATAGAAAGGCCGCATTTCCCATTGTCTTGCCAGAGCATCCAGCACTTCCACAGTGCTGGTGTGACTGCACCCAGCGTGTGCGTAATGGGGCAGGAGAGCTCTGTGAGCTGCCGCCATGCAGCCACCATGGAACCAAACACCCACCACCTTAAGCAGTTTTTCAGGGGTTTTGGCATCCTGTTAATGGCTGTGAATGAAAAAATCTGTAAAGGGATCCAAGGCAGAGAATAACAAAAAAAGAATTACTTATGAAAACAGCTAGAAATTATTTATGATTTTAGAAAAATTAAAGACAAGTTTTGGATTCGTTAAAATTTCTGGACTGATGGTGGTGACCATCAATACACATATGGAACACATGTAGATGAGCCAAAGTAATTTTATTTTTGAACTCTTGCCTGACTTTGATTGCTCAGCTAGATCTAAAATCAAAGAAGGATTATTTTTGTCTCATCATCCATTTAGGTTTTGGGCTAATGTATAGATTACCTGATCTCTACTTGTAAGATCTTCGAGAATCAATTTTTTGTTTTGTTTCTGACTGTATTGACTGGACGGTCAATATTGTAGCCTCTATTTAGCTCAAAATCCCTTTCTTGGACCTCTATTTATGTAAGTAAACATATGATTTTTGGAAATATGTTGATAGCTATGAAAGATTGGAAATCCAATACATAGAAAGGTCATCAGCAGTCTGAGAATGAACTTATGCTGAAAAGTGGTCTGTTGGCACTGTATGTTTAAGATCAATACAGCTTGTGAGAACATAAAATGAGACTTCAATGCCTGTGCCAATCTGAGTATGCCTGAATAATACAGTAATCCCTGGGGAGTGCAAGAGCCAACGTAAGTGTTCTATTTAATTAGTAGCCTAACATAATAATTAGGACTCCTTTAACATTGTTCTGAGTCTTCAGATCTCATTACAAGAGTGACTTGCTGACAGAGGGTAAAAAATTTTGTTTCTAACAATTTTCCTTATTTTTAACTTTTAGTCATGTGTTGCCTCTCTAGGTAATTGGTGCAATCACAACCAGTTATACAATTAGGCTAAATAGATGTGGTAATGTGTTTATAATTTTGATGACAGCTGTAAAAACCTTTACTGAACTATGTGTGAGAACATTGCACGCATACGCAGTAGAGAGACTTGAAATTCATGGCCATTATGAAAATCATGTCTTGCAAAATAAAAACCTATGAGTCCACAGCAAAAAATATGTTCTTACAAGCTTTGTTTGAAAAAGAAATCAGAATATTTTAAGTTACAGAGCTCAAAATAAATTTTCAATCACAGATGGATTTGCTGGTTCAGGGATAAGTCGAAGTTGGCTGTAGGTATCCTTACCACAAGAACAACTTTCTGCTAGACCAAGACTTTATATACCACCCT